TTTGTTCTTTTTTTTTTTTTTTTTGTTTGATCTTTGATCTTTCTTCCCAGAGCTATTCACCGTAGTTGCCTTCCTGCACTTCTCTCTCTCCTACTGCTCTGCCTTTTCTTGTCTCTTTTTCCTAGACATCTAAATTTTAACAAAACAAAAACTAGCAAATACCGTTTTCCCTTATTTTGCCTGTGCTTGAGTTTAGAGGCCAGTGTTGTTCTGTGTGATTACAGGTCGCCTGGGGGGACAGCTATGTTACATCTGCTTTTACAGAGCTGTAACCCAGTTCACAACAGTATTTTAAGTTTACTGTAAAGGAAGATACTGCTTTCTAAGCAAAGCCCTTTAACTCCGTGTTTAGCCTGGAGTTAGTTTTCATCTCAGTTCTAAAGCTTTGATAACAGGAACTAGCCTTTTAACAATAAATGAGGTCAGGTATGCAAATGAGTGCATTCCTTCAAGAGCCAAAAAAAACCCAACAACAACAAACTGTAACACTTAGGAACTCTGCAGGTGTTTATTTTTCTAACTTCCACTTCTCTGTTTTAGACAAGGACTTACAAAACATGCCTTGCAGCAGCATCCCCTGCCAGAACCACGAGCTGAGGTCCACCCAGCTGCACCCACTGTCAAAAGCTATGGGGAGACCTCAAGGTACTGGTAATAACATAAAATGTATCTCTGGAGACAATAGAGGAACAGTCACTTCGGTGTTACTCCATCACAGAAGTGCCAGAGTAATACAGTTAGGCTTAGGCTTTAACTCCTGACTGTAGCGTTTCAGAACATGTCCTTTCTGTGGGTACTCAAGAGGCAGGGTTGCAGCCTCAGGTTTTTGAGATGGTGGACCTCTATTTCAGTTCCATTAGACAGTGTGGTACATTTTGCAAGCCCCAGGATATGTGCTGCGGCGCAGATGCATTTTGGAAATAATAATCAGTGTTTTTACTGTGTTCTGTTCCCAGCCTGTAAATGGCATCTTAATTGTATGCCAGAAACAAGAGGGAAAGGGGAAGAATAATTCTTGAGTGATGTAGAACTGGAACTAGAAATTGTCTGCAGAGTAACTAAGATAATTTTTGGAAAATTAATGTTTGAAAGCCTGACCCCCTAGACTTCCTATGTCAGTGAGGTTATTAAGAATTACAGTTCCAACCTAGAGTAACACATACTATGGTTTCTGCTTAAGTGCCTCTAATTTAAATATTTACCGTTTGAAAACTGTTCTTAGAGGAGGGTTGCTGAGACCTGTTCTGATATATCTGTGCTCTTTTGTACAGAAAGAAAAGTTTACTTACCCACTTGTTTGTGATTCTGTGATTATTGCTTTTTTTCTTCTTCCTTTTTTCTCAATGTGTGCATTTCAGTGAATCTGAAATTTCGAAGGAAACAGATTACCCTTCTGTTACTCCAACCGATCATGGGAATTCATGGTCTGTTAGTCAGAGCTATGCAGGAACCACCACTGAAGACAGCTCAGTCTTCTCTTGGGGCTGTGATGTGAGTAGAACGTAATCATCCAAACCAAATCCAGCACAGCGAGTTGAAAGACACTTGAAATGCCATTGGAAGTACATTTCAGGGTAAAGATGAGCACTGGATCTGTAAATAAAGCAATGACAGTGGTTATAGGAAAAGCATTGTTTTGACCTCCGTCTTTCCCTTCCTCTTAGATCAGAACATACTCGATTTGTAGTCAATTCATATGCAATTAGTATTCTGCGTTCCCGGTCTAAAGAGTTGATGGTGCAAATATATTTAATGCATATGCACTCACACACACATATTCACACATATGTACATACACAACATTAATGCTATTATTGTGGAATCCTAAATGTGAGTGGATGATTTTCATATGCTTTGCGTTTCTCAAACTTCAGATTTAAGAAAACTTGTGGATATTTGTATGTTTCTCAAAATATAGTAATGCCCTAAAACATTATTTTAATTTAAAAAATGTCCTTTATTCCCCGTCTGCCAAAACAAAGGATGCTATTGCTTTCTGTGAGGTAAAGATGGGGAACTGTTCAGATTTGAATTACTCAAGAACCAACCCCATTTTCTAGCAACACGACAACATTTAGCAAAGATCGTGATCATCCTTCGCTGCATAGTGTTTTACACCGGTCTGCATTGCTTTTTGTTTTGGTGTTATCTGTGGACAATACAAGCAACGAACTTTCCATTTCATTAAAATCTTGCTGAATTTTATCCTTTGTGTTCGGGTATGTTTTATGCAAATTATTATGTCTCTAACTTAATAATGTAGACATTTCAAAATGTTTTAATAGGTTTTCTGTTGCGTCAATTTAAGCTTTTTATGTAGCTACCATCGACCCCAGCAGTGGTCTGCATCATCTCCCAGTGAAAAATTATTTAAAGTTAACGTCTTTAAATGCAGTGGAGGTCATTGCTGTTTAAATCCATCCTGCTAAGCTTTAAACAAACAGGTGTCTTTTCAATTTTAAAAATGTCAATTAAAAAAAAAACTCCAAATACCATTCACTAGGTTTTTATTGGATAACTTTCCTTTCCAGGAATTTGATAAAGCTGCCACACGACAGGTTCAGCAAATGTTCAGACAAATTGATGAGCTTCTTTATGAACAAAAAGAAAATGTACATGTTGAGGGACTGCAGGAAGAATGTCAGCAGTGGACTTCCAGCTTTCCTCATCTCAGGTTTTTCATTTCATTTTTTTAGACTAATGAAAGTAGCATCACAGCATGGCTGCTCTTGCTCTTTTATAATTCTAAGAGCTGTTTTTTGAAACACTGTTAGTAGCAGGGTGATTTTATGCAAGGATACAGTAGATGGAGATAAAGATCGCTTTAGTAGTCTGCCTGCTGCTGTCATTAATAAACATTCTGCTATCTCACATTTCGTTCCTTGCAGGAGAATTATGGCTATTTGCAAAACAGCCGTAGCAAAATTCTCTTAGAAAAGATGTATGGTATCGCTAAAAGCAATGAGCTTAAAAACAATTAGAAATTTCTCCTACCCTAACTCAGCAGTCCTTATGGCTATATGGAAGCTTAAATTTTAAATCGTCCTTACGTGAACAGTTTTGTCAGTATTCAAAAGTCTTCCAGTTAGCAGGGTATAAAAAATCAGCGCAATTTTCTTAATGTATTTACTTGACTTGAAGCTATCTGTACTAGGGAAAACAACTCAAACCGCATTTAACTGTCACCAATAAAAATGCATAGCTTCCTAGCAGAATTTTCGGTCTTTGCTACTGTGTGCTGTTGGACACTTGAAGAATCTTACTTTCAACACTTTCTGATTTATTTGTCTTTTGCCTTTTGTCATGGCAGGGTTGTGGGGAAGCAGATAGTGATCCCCACAGACGAAGGGTATGGATGGTATTCAAGTTCACCTTCTGGCAGTTTAGGTTCATCAGATGTAAGTTCACCACAAGAAAAAGATTCTAATGAGTAAGTACCAGCGGTTAATCCGGACTGTGCCAAGGTGGGAAGGTTATTTTCTTCTCAGCGGGCTGCAGTGATCAGCTTCTTAAACTGTGTGAAGGAAAGTTTTTGAACCTCTTTCTTAGCCTGAGTTTTGAACACAGCATTTTTTTTTCTTTTAACTAGAAGAAGTACATTCAGAATAGCGGGACTGTCTAGCTGTGCTTGTTGTTAACTACAGTAAAGCAGTAAGTGGAAAGAATTTCGCTACTGCTGACTTCTTAAGGATTTGTACATATTGTAGCTGTCTTTATTGTTAATCGTCTTTCAAATGTGTATAATACTTCAAAGATGCAAACCACTCCATTACTACTGCTTTTATTATTTTATTTTTTTAATGTTTCAGAATGTTTTTTAATTAGCTTTGAGCTTTCTTGTCTGAAGTTTCAAGCTCCTAAGAACTAAAAATATACAAAACTAAAGGATTCATTCTATAATTAATACACGTATTTATTGGTCTCCCTGATATCTAGCCTTACCTACTCTGTCGTCTCTTAGCCTCTCAGTTCACCAAATGCTGCTATTACAAGTGGAATAACAACTTCTTTTCATTTCCGCTTTCTGAAAACTGTCACCTCTTCAGATTTAGTGTTTTTGGCAAGAAGGTACCTCTTTCTGTTACTCCTGTTCACAAAAAGGCTGACCGTTCCAAGTCTCCCACCTTGCGTTCTCCGGAGAGTGAAGAAGGTGAAGATGGAGTAATCGTCTCCGAAGGTGTAATGGAGGAATATTTAGCATTCGACTGCAGAGATGTGTAGGTATTGAATATCAAGACAGTAACTAGTACCAGTGTCCTGGAATTTCTGCTTTTAAGACTTATATCTTTGGCTTTGATGTTGGTTGATGAAACCAACTTTGAAGTGTTTGAGGAAAACTTTTTTTCTGATGTCTTTCCTCCAGAGAACTTTGAAAAGACTAAGGTTTGTAGGGCACTGGGAATTGGCTTTATCCATCCCCTAGAACAATTTATTTTGCAGTATTAGTTTTAGGGTTTGGTTTGTTTGTTTGTTTTGCAGTTTTTCATACTAGCCATTTCTCTTCATGGTTTAAGTAGTTTGTTTCACCACAACTAAGAGCCTGATACATTTTGGCATATTTAATAGAACTTGTTTAAGCAGCATTTATTTTTCATATTAAGTCAAATTCATTGTTGTTTGTCGTGCACTAGCAATGTGCTGCTTTGTTTTTTGTACTGAAGTGCAGAGACTAGCGTTTTGTGTGGAATTGTACCTTCCCAGGTTTTCAGTGGTAATTGAAGGATTAGTGTGGATATGATGCTTGCCAAGAAATAATTCATACTATTTTTTACCTTAAGAAGAAAGGATTAAGGGTGACATAAAGATGATTCTTCTTGCCCCTTAACTTTATTCAGTCTAACAATATGAACATATGACCTAGGTAAGGACTCTAGATGGTAATGTCCCTTGCTAACTACTTAATTGGTTTTAATAAATAAGGCCACTTAGATGCATGGACCATGAAATTGAAATTGGTGGATGACATGCTTTGACCAGGCCAGAGGGGCACCACTATCACAGCAAACGGTAACTGCTGTCTCTACAGAAACTGGCAAAATGTTTTACAGCTTCTTCTAATGGTCTCTCCCCCTCCCCACCCCCAAGGTTTGTAGCTTTTTGATGTTAAGTATTAATTCAGGGAGCAGATACTAAAGTCATAGTAAATGTGTCTGCATCAGTCCCCTCTATAAAGTTTCTTTAGGCAGGTGAATGTACACTTTTTTGAGCAGTTGTCTTCCAGGCTTCAGACTTTAGAACATGGGTTGCATGGTGGAAGAGTCTGCAGCCAAGGACCCTTGCTGCTGTAAATTAACTTTTTTTTTTTTCTCTTGTTGATTATGTCTAATTCTCTAAAATTGAATTAAGCCTTTGCCCTGAGCACCTGGTGGCTGTTAAAGCAGCAGGCGAAAAGTGGCATTAAACGCTCATGATTAGTAGCATCCAAAAATACAGGAGATGGAGAGCATGCCTTTATGGTACAGATAACGCTCACTGTGTTACAGGGAGGAGGAGCTGCACGAGAGGAAAATGGGACTTTCCTCTAATAGACGGAAATTGGGGTTTCCTCCTATCTCTCCGTATTCCTGCATGAAAGATTCTGTGCTCACATTTGTGTTTGATGACGTATGGAGTGAAGTCCTAGGCTGCATGGAGGAATTAATCTGCAGACACTGGGAAGGATCAGCCTCTGGTAAGGATCACCGTTAAACTGAAGACACAAAAACGGATTTCAGTTACTTAATTTTGCAAGGATGCAATGAGAAGGAGATGTATCTTTGGGAATAATCTTTTCAAGGCAAAAAAAGATTATTTGCTTTGCTAACAGTATGACACATACCTTGGAAAGATTAAAACAGAGCTTATCATCTAAGAGGATCCCATTTTAAAAAATGGATTCATAGTACTGTCCACAAGTAATAATGCAAATAATCTGTATTGACAGGGATTCTTTGCTTTTGTTGCTTTGCGTAGATGATGAGAAAAATATCATAGCAGTAGAAACAACAACCACAGCAGATTCCGGAAGCCCTTTGATGCACTTTGAACCTCTGCCAGTGTTGTTACCTCGCGTGCCACAAACTAAAATGCCCTCAGTGACATCAAATCTGGTAAGTGTTTTTAGCTAGCTGGTTTGTGTAGGGCTAAGTTGATACGACGCTACCTAAGCAAGCAGATTCAAGTATGTTGGGGAACTATTTAGATACGTAACTAGTTTGGATTTTGCATGGTTGCTGACTGTCCTTTCTAATACTTAAGTTCTGTTATTCCCCAGTTATAGTTTTTAATTCCTGTTTTTTCTCTTTAAAACTTAATATTTTATATATGTATTGGACAACCACATGGTGTCTTTGCTCATTAATGATGTAGTTCTTTCTATACTTAATACTTGAACTAAAGTGTGAGAACCAGGATTGCACATGTGAGACATCCTTTTCTCACGGCCCTACCAATATCTAACTCATCGAGCAATAGAGAACAAATCTCAGTGAAGCTGTAAAACGTTTTTTTCCCTAGAAACTGAATTTGACACTGTATAATCTGCTTTAGGACTATATGCTCGTAGAGGGGTGAGCACCAAAGTGTTATCTCTGTTCATTCAATTTTAATTCAACTCTTTCCTTTTTATGTCTCTTTATTTCTTTCTCCTTTATTTCTTACCCCTGCCTGTTCCTCATGTTCCCCCTACTGTATGTGTAGTGCCCAAAAACCAGATGTGGCCGCAAAACCAAAAAGAGGAGAAAACCACCTCAAGTATGTATACTGGAGACATTAAAGCTCTGGTATTTTTCTATTTGCTATCATTGTGGTGGGTGGAATTTGATCTTTTTCCAGATCAGCCTGAATTCCAGGAAAGGAGTTTACAGTTCTGTTCTTGACATAAAATAAATGCCAATATACACCGTAAAGGAGTATTATAAAGTTCCCAATTATAACCGTTTTTGCCAGATTGTTTCATGCAAATGAGAGCCTCAGTTGGAAAATGAGACATAGCATGGCAGGATATATTTTCTATGCGCTACCATTTGCAAGAACAAATGGAAGGGTAAGATGTTCATCTTGGAGGAATAATATAACTGAGTATATATCTGAATGTCTTGGAAGGAATGAGTTTCCTTCCAAGATTATTTGCAAAGACAAAATATATACATATGTGTGTATGCATGTCATTGCCAAGCTGTAATTTTTAAAAAAAAACTTTTTTTTTTTTTTAAACTCTCAGATAAATCTGTCACAAGGGTCAAGTAATGGCTCTCAGCGTAATCTAAATGGCTTGCTGGTGATCCATGGGATCCAGTTACAGCAAAGGAATCTGTCTGTAATGGAGAAAACACTGTAAGAGCTATTGTTTTTTTTGTCTGTTGTAACATAGAGCTTTCTCACACGGACAGGAATTCAGCCCAAAATATTGTGAGATAATCTCCCATGCTGGAAAAAGCAACTCTCATTTATTTTCTTGCCTTTTTTTTTTAATTTGTCCTGTATGAAACGGTATACTCTTAAGTCCACTTTAGCTTACAAAGCAAATTAATTAATGTTGTAGTTAACATTAAAAGCTGGTATGTAATGGGAGTATTCATACTCCCATTCAGCTGATGGGAGTATTCATAACTTTAAAGACAGATATATACTGAAGCATCTCGTTAAATCAGGACTGATGACCATTAAATTAAAATGTATTTGTTTAGCTCCTAGTAGCCATAAGGATAACCGTGGGAGGGCTTGGAGTTTTATGTGTGTTCCTTCCTCTTGCCCCTTGAAGTTAAAATCCTAGAATAGCTTAGGTTCCTCTGAAGGTCGTCTAGTACAACCTTCTGCTTACAGCAGAACTGACTTAACAAGTGAACAGGTTGACTGAGTGTGTAAAATGCAGCTATTTGATTAATTTTGTCTAGAGTGAGGTATGGGAAGGAAAATACTACTGTAGTTTCCTCTTCACATTTTGTCAGTGAAAAAATAGATGTTGATTTCTGTAACAAGCTGCAGTTTTACTACTGAAATTTTTAATAACCATGTGGCTCATTGCACCAGGTGGCTTATGTTATATGGAGGTTTTGTTATATACAGCAAATATCTTTTCTTCCTGTGCTAGCTTTGTTTAGGAAAATGAAGGATAAACACATATACCTGTCAAGATATCCAACCTCAGATTTTATCTTATTGCTGCTGGTTTACCACTTAGTGAATTGTTGTGCCATTACTGTTAGCACTAACTGACATCCTGAAAAGAGAGAGAAAGCTTAGAATGGGATCGGGAAACTAAACGTCTCAGTTCGTCAGTTGAAGCAGTAATCTTCAATCAAACAGTGCATGGTTCAGAAAAACTTTCTCTTTTCCATACCCTATCCTTTTCTAGTTTCGCTGTCAGTTGCTTTATACAGTTATGCAAAAAAATGAAAACACACCACCTACAACCACATATAACATTATTAATTTAGCATATAGATCACCACTGTGGTAACAGGGTGACACCAGTCATATTGACCATGTCTCTCTTGATTCCATGATTCTTTTGTTAGGGACCTGGATGACAAACGGCCGGGCTCCAGTTCTGTCCTCTCAACCAGAACGTGGCCAAGTCGTCCTCTAGAGCTCAGTACGTCATCTCTGCCACATTCCGCAAGAAGGCGAAACCCACCACCACGTACCCTACATCCCCTCAACACAAACCACTCTCGTACTGGGACACCAGGATCCGTGGATGATGTCATCAGGGGAACTCGACTGTACGTTTCAAAATCAGTTTCTTACTGCAAATTACCAGATTTAGAGAACCAAACCTATACAAAAAGCAGTCAAATGAATGGAAAGAATGCATCAGAACTCTTTTGATTAAAAAAGTAATTGCTTATTAAAGCATAATCCTCTGAGAAAGTCAAGTTTCTAAAGTTAATGTTTACTGTGCCACAGTCTGTGATACAGCGAATTCCATAAACATGCTGTTTGAATGGGGAGGTACTCTTTTTCTCAGGTGGTCCGTTAGCAGCAAACCAAACTGAACACCATGCCATGTTTGATACTCAGCTATCTTTTCCGATAGCCTATTTTCCAGACAGACTTAAAACATTGTTCTTGCCTATTGCTCTCCTAGCCCAGCCTAGGCTGTAAAGATTATGCTAATCTCAGGTAACCTGTTACAAATCTAGTTAAAGGTAACTGCAGGACTCCTACTGATCCCTGTGAACTTTCAATCATGTTTAGGACATATTGTTTTTGTTTGGCTTAATGATCTGGCTGAATTTAGACTTCAAAGTATTATAAAGTAGGTGAAGTCACATGCCACTTTCTTTGGAAAGTGTCAAAAGCTTAAACTTCTGGATTTACCTGTAGCAGCTCAGAATGTATTGGTTTTGGAAGTCATAAGAACCAAAAGTCCATACAGGATTGTCTCTGTATGCAAACTAGGTATATTACTGGAATTCATGTACTGCAAAAACGATTTATTTGGAAAGGGATGCTGAAGTTTTCCTTTGTCAAGTGTCCATGCAGTCACTTACAGGGACTACAGGGTATTAGGTACTTCTGTATTTCACCTAAGTTTCATAAACTGACATAATTTCCGTTTAGTTTCTCAGTTTATAGGTAAACGAATCCAGTCTGTCATTGTCCTCTGTAATGTATCGTTTAGACAATTGTTACTTAAACCTGTAAATCCCTGCACAATTGATGTTTCTACGTTCTTCCACTATTTTATGTTTCTGTTCCCTCAGGCTTCAATCCGCTTCATGATTCTTAACATCTCCCCTTCATTATTAGCGTATATATTTAAGTGTTCATAGCAAATACTCAGAGAGGCATTAAGTGCTGATTATGGTTTCAAGCTTTTCTGATGTAATCTTACAAAACATCCTTCCTTCTGTCATTTCCAGAATGTGTCTAGAGCTAAGGCCTCTTGATCATTTCTAGCACTTCTCAAACATACCATAATATACAAATACCTTTCATATGAAAAGGCTGTATCTTGAAAGAAGAATTCACATTCTTTTATGTTCCTCCTGTGACTAAAGCTTAATTCGTTTATTTTGTGCAATTAGATTTGTGTTACAGGGATGGTTTAGTTCCCTTAAGAGGCTTCTGAAAGCCCCAGTATGCTTCTAAAGCTTGCTTTTTACTTTTGTTTTTTAAGTTTTTTTTTTTTTAGCATTTTTCCACGTGTTGTGCATTAGGATATTTTGATAAGTTATCTTTGAAAGCAGACAATCGGTGAAGTTCAGAGCTTAAGTCAGGCAACACGTGACTGTTAGCCAGGTTAGCAAGAGCTTATGTTTTGTTTATATTTAAAACTATATTTTTAAAATCTCAAATTCTTAATCATATGTAGGTTGTTTTTATCTTTAGAAGTAATAGTTTCAATCTTCACAAGTAAATAGATTTTTAAAAATAGTTGAAGTTCTCTTTGCTTTTTAAGACTTGTATATTATTTAAAAGATGAATTCTGTCTTTTCTGCAAAAAGGTTTAATCACGATTAAGGGAAAGTAGCCTTGTTTCAGATGCTGTGAAATACTATCAATTCTGCAAGGTATTTAACTCTACTCCTAATAGAAAAATGTTGGTCCATTTTTTATATAGCCAGTTTGCTGTGAGCAACCCTTTTACTTTTTCAACTTTATTTTGTTTAAAAAAAAAAAAGCAATCTCAATGGCTCATTTCATAGTAATTCAGGAAAAAAAAAACAAAAAACATTCAATAGAGAAGGGAAAAATCTGTTCCTGAACTATATATTTGAGCAGCATCTCTGTGAGTCTTGAAATTCTGCCAAAAACTATGACAGCTATGGGCACAACAATCAAGCATCTTCCACCCTTTTTTGGACTGGGTAAAGTAGTAGCTTTTATAAAGAAACAGTATAAGTAGATGATTGTTGTATTGTGCACTAAAAGATGCAAGGCATAAAACAACTTTCTGTCATGCTTTGGCAGAGACTGTTGTCCAGGGCCCTGTAGCATAAAGTGAGGAAGTCCAGTAATGAGAATTTCATACTGAGCTCTGACTTGCACCTGTTACTTCAAATATTCAAAGGAAATATGGAGGAGAAGGTGGGAGCCTTGTGTTTCCCCCCAGCAGTTTTGTTTGATGCTTGTAATAGGTAGGAGAGCTACAGCTGCATTTGGAACATCGTCCTTTTTCACTTGTTCTGCTTGAAGTAGAGGCCGCTGCATTCTAGGCTAGCGGTTTATCTTCAAGTGCTAGGCTGCAGTAATCAGTAAGCAGCGTTCCCTCCTAAAGGTCGTTAACAAAGAAATAATGCCAGCTCTGGGTCATGGGCAGTCAAGATTCTATTATTCTGTGGTAGTTGCCCATGAAGACACCTTTACACCTTTATTCTGCAGCAGCAGCCACCTAACACACTCCTTTAAAATGTACTAGCTAGCATGCTTGTTAACCACCTGTGTTATCTGTCTACTAGGATTTCTGCTAGGGTGTCATTTCCCAGGCTTACTTTGCCTATATGGTTAATGTTAAACATCCTGAAAACCAAAAGTTCTTGTTAAAAGATGAAAAAAATTTGACAGATTTCACCTACTGCACAGCTCCTTTTAAATCTACATGTCCCATAGTCAGCCCTAACCCCAGCGTCCTCTAGTAAAATTCTACAGCTGTTGTTCTTAGTTTTAACATTATATATTTGGCGTTGTGTAAGGCAAACAAACTGACAATAGCGTATGTCTTCTGTTCTTACTGGTGCATTTTAGTCCAACTGCATATGATCAGCTGACCTCACCCTCCCCACTGCCGCTGAGTCGAAACAATCTCCTACCACCTATTAATACCACTGATGTGTCAGAGCACGTGAGCACTGCAGGATCCCAGAGGCAAACGGTAATCTGACATGGGCACGACCATTTAATTTTACTACTTGAAAGTAAAAAATTGTAACCATTGCGGACCAAATTTTCAAACCCGAGAGTTCTGGTTTGTTGTTTATGTTAGAAGTGACAGCAACTGAAGGAGGTACCTAAGAAGTACACCACATCAGTTTTGACCAACAGCATGAATCAGAGTTGAATGCTTCAATTCCAATAAATGCCAAAATGTTTGTCCTCCCCCTGAATGGCTACAGTATGATTGGCTTGCAAAATTAGGTTTCGTTCCTAGACTGATTACTTATTTTAATATACTGCTGCAAAGAAAGTGATAACTTTATTATTCTTCAATACAGAAGTCTCAGGGAAACTCAAGTCGAGCTCACAGTGCAGCAACACATGAAGATAACCACCTGCAGCTACAGGAGAGGCTTTTCTTACCTGATAATTTCTCCAGGCCTAACACAACAAACACTTTCTTGGTAAAGCACGGCAAGTTCTACCAAATCATCTCCAGTTTTTAAATGGGGTGCTTTGACAATTAGCATGGGTAAAACACTACTTGAGAAGAAAGCGTGACAGGTGATTGGTGCGCTAAATAGGTGGTCGTAAGGTTAGTCATTAGATTAGACACCCAGAGGTTAGCAGAAACCTTAGTGCTTGGCACTTCTGAAACAAATAGCTGAGGTCACTTACTTAAGGATGCTTCAGCCACCTCGCTGCACTCCCCACAGCCATGTGGCTGATGGTATTGTACTTTCTTGGACAGGCTGAAATAAATTTGAGATGGGTTTGTAGGAAAGGATAAGTATAACTTTGGGCATTCCATTTGACCCATCCTCTGTATTGTTAATCTAGCATCTTCCAGGAAGGTTTAGTAAGAACTGTGGGGTAGCAGAGGGTGTGTTCAAGTTTTGCATAGTCTTTCAAGTTTGTTCCTACAGCTGTATTCACAAACAGAAGGGTAGGATAGTCTTCATAACTTCATAAACTGTGCAAGTTTGCTGTACTGGTAAAGCTATGCCCAGTCTGTTTCCATATCAAGCGCTCCTATGCGACTTTTCAATTTATTGAAATAGTAACTAGAGTAGCTATCTTGTCTTGTCTTCAACAAAGTAGTTCTATTTAAACCTTAAGTTTAAAAGCCTTAATTTCAATGATAGCTTTTAAACTGCTGGTTTGGTTTCAGTATATAATTTCAGCATCCTTGACTTTGGAGTTTTGAGCATACAGGCTTTCTAATGTTTTGAAACAGAACTATTTTCAGAAGTGGTAAGAATGCTGTGAACTAGCCAGTGATCCTGTTAAGTAAGAGTATTACAAAAGAGGGTATTTTTTTCCCCACTGAAAGTTGAATTAACCTTTCTTAAACATGAAAAAGGTCTGTTTAGACCTTGACAGCATCTTGTGAATTTGATAGCTCAGGAAAATTGTATGTTCTAATTATTTTTTGTTGTATTGTAACATTAACATTTAAAAAAAAAAATTTATGCAAACATAACTTGCACTGTCTTTCAGCCAGATGCACAGCATCGCCGTTCTTGCACTGTTATTGATTATAGTAATCAACCTTGGACCAGCAGAGGATCAACAGGTGCAGGTATGTTCATCTTACCAATCAAATAATTTAATAAGATCAAGTAAGCATTTGGGACATGGATGGATTTCCTGCATAGTTAAAGTGCACACAGTGAGGGGGGTTCTTAAACGGTTCTATTTCATTTTGTAGTTTTTCATTATAGGAGTTTTACGCTTGCATATAAAGCGTGTGTATCTTGTTTTACCACCTAGTATTTTGTGTCATTTAAAGGTGCTTAGTGCCGTCAACCCCAGTTCCTCTCCTGAGGAAGTAAAGAGCAGGAGTCACTGATTTAAGCAGTAACTAGCAACAAGTACTTTCTGCCCAAGGTTACCTGTTTTCTTCCTTCCTGCTTAGTTACACAACTGAAGCAAATTGCACTATGTCTGAAAGAAGCTATTTGCACTACATCTGAAATAAATTGTACTAGATCTGCACTAGATCTTAAAAGAATTACTCTAGATCAAGTCTAAGTGTATTTTAAAGCCAGTTAACTGAATCAGTACAAGTTTAAGTACATACTCTGAAGTCAAGAGCATACTGGTACTGTTTGATTTGCAACACTTAAGTTATGCTATATAACTCCATAACTAGTTCATCTCAAATTAAACTACTTATTTTTAATTGATCAAAGCATCAAGGAAGCAGGAAGATATTTTGGTTGTGAACGTAACGTATACTCTTTTCTCCAACTTCCCTTCTTTCACTGCAAAGTCATTTCCTTAAATGCTTTAATTATTGTTTCCTTAAATACACTTTGAAAATAGCCTTTTCATAGATGCAACACACCAGGTTGACTTTCAAAGTAGCAAGGCATAATACTAAGTTGCATGCATATACATTACTGTAATCATAGACCAATGTATCCTTCTAATTTCAACTCTACCTGCAGAGAACTTGTAGGGAGGTTGTAGGGAGAGTTTTGGTCACTTTCTCTATGTTCTATTGCACAGCAATCAACCAAATGGAAATATGTTATTCAGAAAACATCCTCATCTTTGTATAATGCAACATGAATAAGCATTGCCTCTCTGCTGTTGTGGAGGGCTACTAAAGACCTGGCTGGATGTGGGCTTTGAACTCTCAGAAGGACCAGCTTAGTCAGCTGAAAGGGAGTTTGTTCAGAAAGTATGGCAGAGCAAAAAGCCAACTTCCATGCCTTGGAACAGCTTTGCCAAATGCCATTGTTATAGCTCTTACCTGAGTTCACCTCTTGAGCGTTCCTTGTCAGCTTCAAGTCAAGTTAGCAATCACCTCCACCTGGAAGAGGTGGCACAGAGTAGGGCATTAGATACACTTTCTGAAAACTAGATCCATCGAGACAAGTTGCATGGGACTCCTTTCATCCTGTTTTTGGGTTCTTTATGGAGTTATCAGGAGTTCCCTTATAAGAAGGGTATATTAGCAAAGTAGGACCGAAACTGCAAAGGTTAAGGCAGCACATAGGAGGTTAATTATTACAGAAGAGAGTGGGCTTTTAGCTTGTCCCAAGTGACATTTTTAAATACAAGGTGACTTTTATGACTGCTGTATTGATTAAAAAAAAAATTAAATCAGGATAAAAACTTTGTGGACTTTAATACTTCATGAGAGAGAGGTGAGTACAGCAGTTCCCAACAATGTGGCAACTGTGAGGGCAGTCTTGCTCTTTTGAGAGGTCCAGTCACTTCTCTCAAACTTTTAATTTCCAGCTGCACATGTTGTTTGATACATAACTCTTTTCCTTTTAAGAGGACCTCAGGCTAGGAGCAAGAGCAAGATATCTTGAAAGGTATTTGAAACTTTTGTTGAAGCTTAAGCTTCAACAAGTTACTGATTAACTGACAGACAGCTTTCAAAAATATATTGTAGTTATACATATTGCATTATGTTAGCAATAGTAGAATAAAAAGCCAAAAAAGTGTTTTAATATTAAGCTAAAGGAGATGTATTACTTAGTTCTAATACCTTCCAGAAGTCTTAAAGTTGTACACAATCTCTATTTACTAGGTCTTCAGCTGCATGGTTCTGTGAAAGCCCAAAGTCGAAGCGGATCAGTCACAAAAAGCAAACAAGGGTTATAACACGTCACAAAGAAGCATCCATCCATCTCCAGAAAGTCTTGAATCACCTCTTATTCTCAACAGTGTCAGCATTGTTTACAGAGTTTTCAAACACCCTTCCTTATGAAGAGTCTTATTTTTATATAGACCTAAGAAGCAGCTGCCAAAGATTAGAAGGGGTATATTTACACATTGCATTTTCGACTCCTAGAAACAGCTATACTCCAGTAGACAGTGAAGCCTAATTGCTAGAAAACCTAGCAAATACCCATAAATCACTGCTGTTTTCTCATTAATCCTTATTGGCTTGTGACCCGTTCACGTTGTTACAGACATGGACTGCAAGACGTGCTGATTTCTCCATTAGCTCTAGGAAAGGTAGCCAGGCCTTCCACAGCAGTAGTGATTTAAATTTTTAAATTGCTATATTTAAAGCTATGTTTATATATTTAAAGCAGTATTATGCTATAAGAAGCAAGAACTGCATACGATATTGCTTGTACAACACAACTTGAACAAGCTGTGAATCCTGTAGTAGGAGCACCAGAGACTAACGCAGTTGTGTAAAATAAGGTAGCAAAACAATTAATAGAATTGACAGCTTTTTAGGTAGCACACTAATGATCCTTCCTGTGTTATATACTACTACCTCTTCCTCATTGACTCAAGGAGGATTTTTAAGGGGGGCAAAAAGCGGTCTCTTACTGCAGGTAATTCCAGGCAGTATTCAAAAAAAAAAAAAGTACGTTTTCTTCCTGGTGAGCTATTTTATGGTGATTTCCCTAGGTCAGTCATTCACCCTTTAAAAAAAAGCCCACCCTGCAGTTACCTAAGTACTTCTGTACTTGTCCGTCACTGTCCAAACTCCGCTGATGAAACGTAGCTTTTTAGTAGTAGGGTGTTTTTTCTGCACCACACGACAGACCTCCTGGAGAGTATTAGCTTTAGCTGTAGTTGCTCTTGTGGCTCCAGATAAAACAAAGACATGAAACACAAGCTTTTCAAAATAAATGATTAGTTGAAGGCCTTAGTCCTAAGCAGTAAATGCCAGACTACAAATAAAGCGTAAAGACAAGGTAAAGATAACCACTTACCGTATTTTTAACCAAGTTAGGATACCGTACAAAAAAAGTTGTAGAGAAGTTTTATCATCTTTTACAATCCAATTAAAAAGCATATTTTCTAAGCTTGCACTATGGATTGTGACTTGAAAGATATTAATAATAAGGAAAAACTTGTTGGTATTCTTTATAAAGTTGCTCCCCTATTTCCCCACTGTAAGTGATGCAATCTACCAAACATTAGTGCTACCTACAGAACAGCTGATAGTTTTTACCCTAGGTTAAAGTTCTTCAGTCCGGTCGGTTCAAATATGCTCCAATCAAAAATGAGGGAAAAGAAAACAAAATCAAACTATGGGAGTGTAACTGCATTAACTCCTTCCGTTGCATTTCCCTGAGGGGAAAAAAAGCACGATCCTCTAGCTAGATCTCACAAGTTCACATCAAGATAAGTATTCTAATGGTTAAGACTACTGGAACCACATGTAGCGTCATTTAATTATCTCAGGGTAACTGGAGATAAGCATCCTGTTTGTATCACTGCCATAGTAGGCCGGCGGATTAACATGACAAACCTGCCACCTGGCAAATACATGACATTGTGGCTTCAGTTTGTCATGTTATTTTGGTCAATACAGACGTTCCTCTCCTTAAGGAAATTAAAGTATTCTCTGTTAAAACTTGATCAGAACGGTGTGGGCTGTGACCATATCATGACAGCCCATCCTCAGGAACCAAACTAGTTTTCTGTAGCTCTAATGCATAAGAACTTAAAGATATACGAATAAACTCCAATAGACTTCTAGTAACATAACGTAGGATTTTATAGGCTAGGGGAGTCAATGAGTTGAAGACAATCTCAAAGAAAATTCTTGTTTTTTGTACAATTAGTTGACGCCAGAGAGTTGTCTACACTGTCAGAAATGTGTTTTGTAGAGTAAAAGTAATGTTCAAGTCCTACACGTTCTGCAACATAATGATACACTGCAGTCTCTGAGAAGTACCAAAGTGGAAGTTCACAGGGAACGCAGTTAACTCTCTACACCTCTGACTTCTACCTAGCAAGCTGTATTAAATAATTAGTTCCTGAATGCTATCGTTAAAGTGATGAGGACCACTCAAAAGTGCTCCTAAGCCTTTGAAAAGTGATCCACAAAATGAAGCAGGCCTCGTTCCGTCAAACTACAGCAACTTGAAAACTAGTTACTCTTCAAATTTCATATTCCCTCACACTACATTAAGTGGTTTAAAATTGAAAAAGCTGAAATTGGGAAAAAAAAACTTGAGAGAATTTGTACATCTTACAGAAGTACTGCACTTTTGAAATAATGAACCAGTGACAAATACAGTGCACACAAAACCAGGAGTTAAGCAACTAATCACTCCGCCAACCTAGAGCAGATCCGACTGTGACACTATTGGAATAACACACAATACATTTTTCAGCTTTGGAACTCCTTGCCATGGGACATCATGAAGCCTAGAAATACACAGAAGCAGCTGCGCCCTGTGGTTTTTTTAATTTATGACCTCATCTCTAGCTCCAGAAGCACATTAGAGAATTTTAGGAGCACTTCTGCAAGGTCACTCACTCACTCGCTCTAGCCTCTTATTTCTCCTTAGACATCTGGTACGGGCCACTGTCAAAGACCAGATGGCCCTTCATTCTGACCTAGTATCACCAGCACCAATGCTGCTATTAAGCACAGAGCCATATTTTTAACTATTATAGAAGTATGCAGTATTTACTTGATTTGAATCAGTCAGACGAGTAGACAGTATCAGTTTCTGGTGTTTTGAATAGTTAATAAGAAAATGGCACATACAGGGCTGGGGAAGCACAATAGCACAGAATTTTGCAAAATCTTGTACTTTATTAAATCTGCAATTTTCAAAAGTATTTTTATAAAACAACCGAAATATCTGAAAAACCACACATCGAACTGAAGTGCAAAGACCATTAAAAACACCAAAAAGTTTGTTACAGAAGTGTATGAACAACAGAAAAGATAAGTCTTCTAACTAATAAGCCATACGAGCCAGCATTTAAGACTCTCCCAGAGGTATTGAGTCGTGTTGTTTTACCATCAGCCGTACTGATATCCATAAGGTAGTTGGAGGGAGTGTGCTTCAACACAAGTTTAACATACAGATATCCCAAATACCATAGCACTTTCTTACTGCAACAAAACTGTTAGTCAAGACTCTGTTTGATCTTAACTAAAGATCAACTAAAAGATTTTAAACAGTTATGCCAGCATGTTTTGTCTTTCTTGTTCACAACACATTCTGTATCATACTTCCCAGCTGCAGCAAGTTGATGCATACGCACTCTGAAACAGCAGCCCAGAATACCTCTGAAATTCTCCCAAACCCACACAAAGTTCCCATACAAAGTGATACCTGACACTCCAGCCTAAACAGTTATTTACTTCTTCCCTTTCTTGGCTGCCATCTTCTTTCCTCCTTTTTTTGAATTATTCCCATATTTTGCTTCCAGTTGTGCCAAGAAGTCATCCATTTCCTTTTTTCGATCTTTATTTCTACTCTGGGGGAGGGGAAGAAAATACATAGATAACGTTTACCTCTACCAAATACAGATTATTCTAATGAAGTCGAGTAATTACATGAAACCTTAGAATGTATTAAGTAGGGAATACAGATTACAAAAGATATAGCACTATTAAGTAAAAGCCAGTTGTACACTCTAGACACCCCTAAGGTCTGGGAGTATCAAGAAAAAGGTAAAGAAGGGCTATAAAAGTTTTAAGACATAAGCCTAGGATTAGCAAAGCAAATTCTAGTTTAGACACAAAACCAATTCAAAACTAAGGAATGATTTCTAAGCAAACATATTGGGAAGCCTACTGGACATTTTAAAAAGTAAAATTGAAGAACGGAACCTAAACAGGCTGTTTCCTCATTCCCCAAACTATAAAAGCAAAATAGTAAGATCTATTAACTTTTAAAGAAAAAATAGTTTTGAATGGATTTGTTTTCTTAAAGGAACATCCATTTAGAACCCCTTCAGCATTCCTTAAGCTCCCTCAAAGCGATAGTTGTGCAGCATTTATGGAAGATAAATGCAGTCAGGCTGTTACAGCCACAGGGAGGAGAGAGCCAGAGGACCTCACAATTCAAGCATTCCCCAAAGAACGTTCCAGTATTAACCTCCAACATAGCAGGAATTCTAAATTCAACAACTCTTGTTAACATCAACTCCAGTAAAGGGGAAACGTCAGTTCCTTTGATTAGAAACCTTGTGGTCACTTGCCTTTTCAACGGAACCAAGCATTAGAAATTGCCTGCCGCTTGGGAAAATTCAATACAATGGAACGTTACAGCTGTAACAAAGCACCCTTAAATTCACATGCAAAGCCAATAATCAGCAAGTCTTGGACTTCTGGCAGACTAATAGCACAACGTGCCACTTAGCCAGCCACATATGTAAAGAATACAAAAAATTGCTAACAAATAGATTTATTGTCTGGCACACCAGTACCGGACACCAGATTACCAGATTGTAGACATCCGGTTAAGGGGTGGCAGGGGAAACAGATTACGGTAGCAAGGCCTATATGAAATGACTTTCTAACAAAACAGTTTTAAAAGCCATCTTACTCTCAGCCTGCTTGGAAGAAGCAGGAGCCTAGCTTAATGTAAGTTTTGCAGATTTCTGATCAACTTTTTTTGATCACTCTCTACAGACCAGAATCTCCAACTCCTGTATTTGTACCCTGCCTTTTTGTACGATAACGAAATTCTCAGGACCGAGTCTCAAGTCACGTTCTGCAAGCTTGACTCGTTCTGCTGTTTACTGACGGGACGACAGTAGTGTGGGCAAACTAAGAAATATAGAGATGGACACTGCTAAGAGGAGAGAGATTTCAGCAACTCTTAAGTCAGTTTTCTAACCTACACATTAAAAGGTGACAGGCTGGATCTTTATTATACCATAAAAAAGATCACAGAGCAGATCACCCGTGCCCTTGTGGAAGCTTTCAGAAAGACAGAACCATTAACACTCCTCTCCAAGCCACCTAAAACTAGAAATTACATGTTTTTAAAAGGCATGCAGTAAGGATGAACATACTAGAATAACGTGGCATGTTTTCAAAGGACCCAGGTAATAAAGATCCCATACTCAGTGACTATTAACTAAAATACATACATAGTTAACATTACGGTCAGATTTTAATCTCAGGAAGCTCTTACGGTAAGAGGAGCTGCTAGGATGCAAACTATGAAGATGCTCAGGGAAAACACAACTGTAAGCCAATAAGATAATTATCTTCATCAGATGCAAGAAGTCTTACTTGAATCAGTGCTTTCAGATCATCTTCTCCATCACCAAGGCCCAGTTCTTCTCTAGTCTTTTCTGCCTCTCTAGCTTCTTTTTCTGCCTAAAATAGCAAACTAGCTTTTAGAAGAAGAGTATTTTGCACATTATTTGACAAAGCCTTATAATGGTTACTGAACACTTTACTTTTGCAGTCTATATATGGCTAATCACAAGGAAAAATGAGCAGTCTCCGAGTTCGGCCACAGGTGCATGATTCATCATTCCAAAAGATAGCCCATTCTGGTTCCTCGGTTTGGTAGAGCAGGCCAGTTTCTGCTGTCTCACAATACTCAGTATTAGTGTGATGGATGTCCCATCCCGTTCCCCCTGCCCAACCACAGCATGCGTGCACAAACACGCACCTCTTTTGTCCTAGCAACTGTTACGGTTTTCTTTCAGTTAGAAACTAACTGCCATGATGCGTATGTAACATGGTGCTATACAAAGTGTCCAAAATAGGCTGGAGAAAAGGTCCATTTAGTCCAGAATGTTATTTCACATGGTGCCAACAAGCAAGCCAATTATACTTCCCCCGCGTGCTCTCCTAAACGCTGGCAACTTGTGGCTTACAGAATAGACCGAGGGACATGCTAGACTACGATAAGCCATTAGGAATCATACCCCAAAAAAGAAGAAATAGTAAGCCACCTACTAAGCATATTACTACTCAAAGTCTTTCGCAACGTTTTGACTGAAATTAAGTTTTAAAAAACATTGGGGGTGGGGTGGGGAAACAAAAGGTGACTAAATGTGGAAGTCAAAGATGCTGAGCAAGATCTGTAATTCAGCAATCCCTGTGACAAACATCTATCTTAAGAAGAATTTTATTTATTTCCACCAAAAGAGATTAAAAGCCTATAATAATAATGTTTCCCTGTGGTCCCTGCGTGATATAACCTACCCGCCTTTTTCTTGCGCTCATTTTCTGCTTAGACTCTTTTACAAAAGCGTTGTAGGCTGGGAGTTCTCCAGAGTCAATGGCTTCTTGTATGATTTTCCTTATCCTTGGTTCATCTGTATAGTCCACGCACAGCACAGACTCCAATATTTTGTCCATGTCACCCTCAAAATCCACGTACGCTGCTTTAATATCATCCAGCTCCTCTTCTGAATCCTTGTAATTCTTCTCAAAGTCCTCAATGTCTTTTACGGTGATCTGAGGGCAAGAGGGGCAGGTAACACGTCGCGAGCGACAGGACGTATTCGGCAGAGAAACTTTTACGAGCAGCCCAAGCCACAGCGCTTCGGGGCCAGAAGCCGGGTGACGCCTCGCGAGG